GATGTCATAGAAGAGCTCTAAAAATGCCTTTCATTATTATTAATGAGGGAAATGTATAAAACAAAAAGAATCACTGAAGGAAAATTGATATTTCTGATTGAGTTGTGAAGGGTTAGTTTCCTAATGATTTTTTTTTCCAAAAAGATTTCTGAGGAGATGTTTGTCTAGGCATGCTCTTCCAGTTGTTTGCACATGGAGTTGTAATCAGAAGTTTTTCTTTTAATCTTTCTGCTGGCAGCAAAAAGGAAGAGGCAAATAAGTTTTAATGACTGATTAGAATGTGGAGAACAGAAAGCACGGGGTAGATTGCCTAGAGGGAAACACAGCTGACATAGTTGCCCTAATACATGCTGTAGCTTCTTTTTGGCTGCCTGTTTAGGGTGTGCTAGAATGTACCTTTCTTCCAAATGTTCCTCAGACAGGTGCAGCCATGGCATGAGTAACTGTTTTCTAAAACACTTTGTACTTACAGAGATATTGATAATAAAATCAGCCCATTTTACTGTGTACTTGTTGCGAGTTAGTGCTGTGATTAGCATTTGATGAGCAAAGCTCTTTCAAGCTCCAAAACAATTCCATAAGGCAGAAGATACATTACTTACATGTAAGATTTAGGTCTCAGATCTTGCCCAAAGTCACATAGTCTTTTAGGTCATATTTAATGATCCATACTATGTGTCTGATAGTGTTGTGGGACCTACAGATTTCCATTAGTGAATGAAACAAAAAAGATCCCTACTATCTTGGAACTCACATTCAAATGGAAGGAGGCAAAGAATAACAAAAAACCAAGAGAATATCAGCTCAGGACAGGACTGTGAAGAAATAAAATAGTGCTCTGGCCGGTGTGGCTCAGTTGGTTGGATGTCCTCCAGTGCATCAAAAGGTTGCTGATCGATTCCTGGTCAAGGCATATGCCTGGGTTGCAGGCTTGATCCCCATTAGGTTCTTCTCTCACATCAGTGTTTCTCTTTCTCTCTCCCTCTCCCTTCCTCTCTCTCTAAAAAGTCAATGAAAATATTGAAAATAAAACAATGATGGGATAGTGAGTAAATGGGGATATAGTGGGTGAGTTGTCAGTCACAGCCCTCTGTGCTTAGAGGGCCTTTCTCTTGGTTTTATCCTCTGTTACCACTGTCTTGAAATTCTCAATACATTTATCTTTAGATTTGTGTAGATTAGTGTGTTTTTTGTTTTCTTTATTGACTTTTTTACAGAGAGGAAGGGAGAGGGATAGAGAGTTAGAAACATCGATGAGAGATAGACATTGACCAGCTGCCTCCTGCACACCCCCTACTGGGGATGTCCCCACAACCAAGGTACAAGCCCTTGACCTGAATCGAACCAGGGACCTTTCAGTACGCAGACCAATGCTCTATCCACTGAGCCAAATCGGTTTCGGTGAGATTTGTGTTTTGTAAGCAGGTCTGATAGAACACTGGAGCCTATGGGTAAGCAGAGGACATACAGCCTCCAATCTTTGTCACACCATTCTCATATGGATTTCTTGATGTCCTATGAGCATAGCATTCTGGTTGATTCCTAATTTGTGGGAGTTAAGTGAAATTCAAAGCCAATACATGAACTGGATAAATGTGTTATGTCTACACAGCTAACTAAACAAGGGATGCTGACAACTCAAGAGGCTGTGTTCCCCTCAAACCAGAACTTAATTTCAAATTCAAAGAGAAGGCAACATTTTAAGAAACACAATGATCAAGGAACTTATCGTATACTTTCCTACTCATTTACTGCCCTGTAGCTGCCAACTACCTACTCTGAGAATGATGATGTAAAAAGAAGGCAAAGACAGGAAATGGTGGTTCCTCTTCCTTTCAGTTCTTCCTGACTCATCTGAAAGCCAAAGGTAGTAAAATGTTGGTGTGTCAAGAAGTGAAATAAAAACAATTGAGTTAGTTTTGTGCAATGTTTTTACTGTTCAGTTAAGAATGAAATTCACATCTGTGTATGAAGTACACAATAGGAATTGCGCAATTATGATAATTCCACATATGAATTAAATGCTCTTCTATACATACTTAAAACTGGCATTGCACCATATAAAGATGAATGGTAAAATCATGCTAATAACTAACATTTTTAATTTTTCTTTATGGAAAATGACACTAAATAGCAAATAAGAAAACACCATGGCAAGATGAACAAGAGAGCTCAGAAAGATAAAAGCTTATAGATCAGCATCTTTAACAGCATTTTTAAAAATATTTTCTAACAGGACACTGCATTTTCATTTTGCAATGGGCCATGCAAATCATGTGGGAGTGCTATTTTAGATTGATTAGGAGAGGTCTCTCTAAGGAGATAGCACTTAAGCTGACACCTAACAGACCAAGAGGAGCTAACCAGGGGAAAATCTGGGGAAAGATCATTCCAGGTAGAAGGAATAGCTAGTTCAAAGGTCCTAAGGCAGAAAAGAACTTCATGTGTTCAAGGAATAGAAAGAAGGGTAGTGTCACCAAAAAACAGTGGTTAGGACTTGGAGTGGCAAAAGATTAGAGGTTGGGGAGGCCAGAGTGTGAAGGGCCTACAAGTCTAGAAGAATGTATCCTATTTCTGTTAGCTGGCCCTGGGAAGGTGTCAGGCAGGGGAATGACATAAATGTTGTTTTCAAAGGTCACCTTTATTGCAGTGTAGAGGCAAGCACGATTTCAGGAAGATCATCCTGAGTGGTCTATATCTGAATAATTCTACAAATTCCCTATGGAATTCATCATACTCTTGTCACAAATTCTATTATTGCAACTACAGATTTTCACAAATGTCTCCCTGAACTAGACTGAAATAACCTTGTGGATACTGACAGAGAAAGAGAGGGAGAGAGCGAGAGAGGACATCAATGATGCGAGAGAATCATTAATCAGCTGCCTCCTACATGCGCCCCACTGGGGGTTGAGCCTGCAACCAGGTATATATCCCAACTTGGAATCAATATAGTTGATGCTCAACCACTGAGCAACCCTGGCAGGCTGACAGTGACAGTCCAAATCCTCCTCATATCACCAGGGTACAGCTCTGTCTGCATATAGCAGTTGCTTATGAAATATTAACCGAGTGACTAATTGCAATCGGATCTAAACCCCTCTTGTGCTAAGAGGTTTTCCCTTAGGGTTTTCTTCAACCTCAGATACTTATTAGATAAGCCTTAAGGAAAAGGATTACAGCAGCTATAAAGGCATCTGAAGTAAATACACAAATAGAGAATTAATTTACAAATTTTGAAATTTGGGAGAAAATTATTGACTGGGTCCTCAATGGAAATTTGAATTTTTAGACTTCCTCTTCCTGAACCCATGTGTAATGCACTCAAAGGCACAGCTGTATTGGTGCCAATGTTTTGGTCAGAAGTTCCAGCCTGATGGCTGGGGACTGATGTGGGCCCAAGACATATTTTGATTGGTTTGCATGGCATATAAATATGGTGCTGCTGAATTAGTTATTGGTGTGTATTTAAAAAAACCAAAGGAGTTTTCACATACAGGTCTGTTTTTTCTCTATCTCTTGAGAAGAAACAACCATGCAAGCAAACGCCAAGCTTGGTAGCAATGGGCCTGCATCCCAGCAGTCTTGGGAAGGAGGGGGGGGGGGGGACCTGAGGAGAGGGCCCGTGTTTTCTGTTCTACTTTGGTCCTCACCCTCCTGCTCCACTCACTATAGCTACCTGTCAGCCTCCTGGTGGCATTGGTGCAATTTGGATACTCCCATCACTGCTCTCTGCTTCCCAGCTATGCTACACATCAAGACTTAGGGGTATCAAGGTGAAGGGACAGAGTAAGTTTAAACCTGCAATTATACATCGTGTGGACATTCACTTAAGAAAACACGTCTCCTTTGTCCCCTAGTATGCTGCCGTATTTCTGCTGGGTGGGATGATTAGACGTGCGATTTTCGATTGTAGGTACTCGGCATTGTGCTTTTATTTGGATGGTGGCATTTAATTTGTCCTACTGTTTTGTGTGTCCCCACCTGTTTATTTAGAGAACTGTATGGACAGTCCACAAAGATACTACCGGTAATAAAGGCCGTTTCCCCAGAGCTATCTCAAGGCACGTGGGAGCACAACAGTGAAAAGCAGAAACCACAGTGGGCCAACACGGATAGAAGCCTGGCTTTGGGAGGATTTTTCTGAAGGGCAGAGGGAAAGAAAGACCCTTTGGAAGGATTGGCTGCACAGCAGGTCTTGGTGGATGTTCGGATCTGGGAACACTTGGCAGTCCCAGGGTGGGGTTCCTTTCCCAGGCTACCAGCGATTGCACAGAAACGCATTCAGAGTCTCAAGAGTCCATCATTTCCACATCCCACCGCGGCTGGCACATGGGCGATGGATGCGCCGTGGAACAGGCCCGCTGCCCAGAGACAGTGGCCCAAGCGAGAGCCGGTTCAGCACGAGTGACCGCTTCCCGGGCGGGAGGGCATACAGCGAGGGCTGGGGCCAGTGTCAGAGTCCAGGCCAGAGAGAGGACAGACAATAAGGCTGAGGTGGCCACAAAGCCCAATGAATATCAGCGGCGCAGAGGGCCGATCCCCAGCGTTCCGTAGGTGCCCACACAGGCTCTGCTTTTAAGAAAGACTCGGGCCCTGGGGCGAGCGCCGCCGCGTCCTCCCCGCAGAGCCCGCGGGGCGCGCAGGCCGGTGGCCCCGGGGCGCGGGCAGCGGCGGCCGGGCGCCCTCCCCGCGCCTCCCCGCGGCCGGCAGCGCCGGGCAGTGCCAGCCCAGGGCAGGGCGCGCGCTGACGCAGTGCGGCCACCGGCCCCGATCGCCCGCCGGGGGGGGGGGGGGGCGGCGGGAACGAGCCGACCCCGCAGGCCGCGCCCCCGGGGGGCAGGGCGCGCGCACAGCGCCGTCCCGAGGCCGCGGGCGGGAGGCCCGAAGCTCCGCCGCGCTCGCCATTCAAGCGCCGAGTCCCCGCCCCAGAGCCGGGGTGCGCGGGGGAGGGGGCGGGCGCCGCCGCTGAATCACCGCCCTCCGCGCCCGCCGCCGCGCCGCCACCTTCCCATTCAGTCGCCCAACATGGCTGGAGCGCGGCGGAGGTGAGCCGGCCGCCCCGCCGCTGCAGCCCCTGCGCCCCCCGCGCCCCCGCGCCTCCGCCCCGCGGTGCCAGGCCCAGGCCGGCCGTCCGCCGCCGGCATGTGGGGCGCCCCGGACGAGAGCTCCGTGCGGGTGGCTGTCAGGTGAGCGCGGACCGGCGGGCGGGCTGCGGGGACCGGCTCGGGTCCGGCCGGGGCACGGGCAGCCGCGATGCGGGGACCGGAGGGGCGGCCCGGGGCGGGGGGACTCGGGCAGCCTGGTGCCAGCGGCTGGGCACGCACGGCCGGGCGCTGGCGGGGACCCCCCGGCGGTCCCCGCGCCGCCGGCGTTTGCAGGTGGCGGCGGCTGCGCGGCGACGGGGCCCCGGGTGCTCTGCCTCCCTCCTGGTCCCGCACCCTCCCGGGGCGATCGATCGTCCACTGGGCTTTGCCTGCAGGAGCACCCTCTCTCTGCTGGGCTGGGTGCTTTGTTATTATTATTATTATTAATAATAATTATTATTTATTCGAGAGCGTCTGTCATACGTGTCCATACAACCCTGCAGGAGCAGCCTCTCTGCTGGGCTGGGTGCTTTGTTGTTGTTGTTATTATTATTAATTACTATTTATTTCGAGAGCGTCTGTCCTACGTGTCTGTGCAACCCTGGCCTCCTCCTTGAGGCAGGAGACAAAGCACCGGACTGACAGCGTTTTCCCCGGCAGGTTGGGGGTGTCCATGCAAATGGAAGCCTCCTTCGGCATCACTGCCAAGTGGATAATGGCACCAGCGTGTGCGTGTAGCAGCCACATCTGGCCTCTGGCCTCTTAGGCGTGGGGATGGGAGTTGTTTTTAAGATGAAAATCGCTGGGAATAGGTCCAGTAGAAGAAAGAAAAGCCTTCAGCCAGTGGAAGGGTTTAAAACATGCGTTACGGAGTGAAACGTCCCGAGGTTAAGCCGGGTGGAACCAGGATGAAATTAGACATGCCTGGGTGTGAATTTGGAAACACCTGGATCTCTCTGAACCGCATGTTGGTCCATGACAGACACACGAGTGTTGAATGTAATTTAGACCGTTTTGCTACGTGTCAAAAGAAGCAGAGCCCTGACAGTTGCTCATGGAAAATTGCAACATCATCCCTGAAATATTAATGAAGCATTCATGGTGGAATAAGTGCGTGGCTTACACAGCTTGGACAGAACTGCTACTGTGAATTCGCTTCTCTCTGTGGGCACTTTCAGGGTTATAAAAATAATCTGTTTTTCTGGTAAATTGTGCTCTGAAATCCTCCACTCTAGTGGTCTTTCTGGAAAGTCATTTTGCAGACCCTGTCATGTCAGCATTCCTAAGTCATTTTTGTGAAAAATCTTGATGAGGCATAGAAATGGTATTTTTATATATATACTTTGTATCTTTAAGCAACTTTAAAGAATGAAATGAATTTTAAAGATCTTTTTACATGCCCTTTACAAGACCAAGAAATGACCACCCACGGAAGTGACAGTTTTATGAGTTAGAATCACCTGTTACAAAGCTTTTGAAGTTTGAATTTGGCCTTCTTGGTTGTTCTCCACCTACTTATCCAATTGTTGGATTAGTCTGTTTCTCCTCTTTGCTGCTATTATGTCTCTTTTGGTCTTTTCATACTTATTAGTGATGGTACCATGGCAGAGGAAGGGAAGGGAAAAGACAGAAAACCCAGTAAGATAATTTTGTTAGTTAGCTGATCTGGTCAAGCAACATGACCAAGGAGCATACAGTAGTAATGGAAACATAAAATTTGGCTGCAAGAGAAGCCATTTTTACAGATTTAAGATTTTATCTGTGAATTCTCTAGAATCATCATAGGGCCATGTGTTGGCCGTCCTATTAAATCTGATGCTGCTTTGCAGTGGAGGTGAGCAGAACTTTGGGTCACCCTACAGTGGTTTTGACATGCTCAATAGCATTTTGCAAGTGAATAAATGTGGTTCTGATTGCTGGTAAAGGCTTTATAAAATACCAGCAGTTTAGTAAGCCACATTGTGAAGATGTGTTTTTTTTTTCTTCATTAAATACATTGAGTAGATCCCTCTCTAAACTTATTTTGCATAAGATAGAAATAGCTTAGAGCACTTTGGTATTAATAAGGCGCTTGGCCATATATTTTTATTTACAACAAACATCTTTTCGGCATATATTCCCATCTCTATTATCCAGACTTCTGAGCTATAATGGTTGGGCACCTACCATGTTCTAGGATCAGTGCTGGGTGTTCAGATGTTTTATATCCTGTGAAATCTCACTTGTTCCTTGTAACAATCTTAGCCTTAGGTCCAGTCCTATTATTATTATGGCCATTTTACAGATGAGACACAGAAAGATTAACCTGAGGGCAAGTGGCAGAACAAGAGTTCCAACCCAGACAGCCTGACTCTCCCTAGCCAAATGGTTAACCATTAAGCCTGCAGAGGTGAGCGCAAAGGCATGCTTTGCAAAGCTTTCCTTAGCATAAGGTCCCTTGCCTCTTCCTGGTTCTGGACTAGTTCAGCTGCAAATGAGCGGCTCTGACAGGTTATGCATAAATAGATGTTGCTAGAAAAGATAGAGAGGTCAGAGAGGACCCGAACTTAAGGCTAAAATATTTCCTCAAAGTCTTTAATCTTTCCAGTGTCCTCCCAGCCTACCTCCAGTTTGTGATAAGCCTTATCAGCAGGGTAAATAAAAATCAACAAATAGGCACACATCAGCAGGGCATTTAACCTGCTTTCCCCCTTCAATGTATAATGTCATAACAGGTCATAAATAGGGTCGACTCTACCTGTGTAAGTAAACAAAAATGTCATAGAGTTCTTGTGTTTTATTCCATATAGAGAGTTACCAGTATGCCAGAGCTAATGACTATTTTAGGTTTCTCAAAATAAGCGCATGGGTCGTGTAAAGTTTTGGGGAACAGAAGTTGAACAGAAAGTTTCTCATTTAGGGAGAACATTTTAAAATATATTTTATTGATTTTTTACAGAGAGGAAGGGAGAGGGATAGAGAGTTAGAAATGTCGATGAGAGAGAATCATCGACCAGCTGCCTCCTGCACACTCCCCACTGGGGATATGCTCACAACCAATGTACATGCCCTTGACCGGAATCGAACCTGGGACCTTTCAGTCCGCAGACCGACGCTCTACCACTGAGCCAAACCGGTTTCAGCCAGGGAGAACATTTTTAATTCAATTTCTGAAAATGCCTTTTGACAGTATATCCGAGGTGTCCTGCAAGGTATCTTTCATTGTGGTAGAGGTGGATTCAGGTGACAGCCACACCTCACGTTGCTGATGAGCCCTTGAAGAATGATTAATGCTATTAATGCTGCCGAGGAATTAAATTCTAAAGGATTCTAAATATTGGTCCTTGAATTTGGAAAAATGTTATGTATGCTTGGAACAACTTGGTATGTGGATGTACTTTTTGACTGTCAAGTAGATGAAATCTAAATACTGATGTAGTATTTCTAATCAAGAGTTAGTGTCCTAATTGACACGTGTGTAAGTGTAATATATGCATTGGATTTCAAACACTTGAAATGAAAAAGTATGAAAAGAAAGAATGTAAATATATCAATAATCTTTGTATTATATTTCAATATATGGAGTTAAATAAAATATTGTTAAGGCCGGCTGGTGTTGCTCAGTGTTTGAGCGTCAGCCCATGAACCAGGAGGCCATGGTTAGGGCACATGCCTGGATTTCGGGCTTGATCCCCAGTAGGGGGCATGCAGGAGGCAGCTGATTGATGTTGCTCTCTCATAGATGTTTCTATCTTTCTGTTCCTCTCCCTTCCTCTCTCTAAACTCAATAAAATATATTTTGAAAAATATGGTTAAAATTAATTTCATCTTTTTAAATTTTCCTTTTTAAAAATGTGGCTACCAGAAATTTTAAAATCAAATATAGTGTTCATATTATATTGCTATTAGATAATGCTGCTCTATAATTTAAACAAGGTGAATAAATATAGAATAAAACTGTTCAAGCCATCCTATCATAGACTAAGATCAAGAAAATACCAAAATATTAGGTGCCCGTTTTTAGAATGGTTACACACACACACACACACACACACACACACACACACAGGATTTATTAGCAACATTTTTTCCCTTCCCAGTGCATAGGTGTAGAGAGTTACTAATTATATAGAAAGTTACTAATTAAAGGTACTAATTACTCCATATGGTAGCTGATTCTAAATCTAAGACATCATGAGATGGTGTATCCTTTTCCTTTCCCTGTTGTAACGCTAACGTAACATTCGAAACTTTTTTCCTTTACAAGAACTTCAGCTTGCAAAAGGTATCAAGAGCTGAATGAAAATGGAGACACAGACCATGGTGTTTTTACATCATTGTTAATAGACATCATGTCAGTGGTTTTTCAACCGGTGTGGTGCAAGAATAGTCAATTCCTGACTATTTAGTCAGGGGCACTGACCTCTTTGTCAAATTAAAAAATGACAACAGCCAACACAAAGCCCTCCAATGTGAATGAATCAAAATTATGCCTGTTTTTTTGTTTTGTTTTTTTGTCAGATTGGCAAAAAGTATTTTCTGTTGTGCTGCAGAATTGTGGTCATTAGTCCATGTGCCGTGAGATGAAAAAGGTTGAAAATCGTTGGCCTGTGTGGTTGTGAGCTGAAATTTTTTTGCTTGGCTTTGGCAGCGAACAGTGCAGATCCTTGACAGTGAGCTTGGATGTTGTCTGATTTTCTGTGTTTCATCTCACTGAAGACTTGTAACAAGTAGCACTGCTCAGCAGGCTCAAAGGCTCCTGGGACAGTCAAAGGCTCTGTTACCAGGTCTGTCACTGGCACTGATTTGCAAAGCGAACTCCCTGAACTCTTCTCTTTCCTCATGCTGAGGTGGCCATGTAATGGCATGAAGGGTTGTGCAAACGTTCCATATTCAGTCCATTAAATATGTGATTTTTGTTGTTGTGTACCTGTTGACAGGAAGGCACTATTTTACCATTTCAATCTTGACTTTTCCAACAATAGATTGGGTGTTCTGGTTACTGAAGAGGAAACACTTGCTGGTAGGCTTTTGTGGTCTCTTTGTTTCATTCTGGTTATAATATAGATGTACAGTATTTTATTTAATCTACATAGAGATACTATGAGGTAGGCTGGGCAGAT